CCCCTAATCCTAGTGATCAACAACTCATCATCACAGCTTAATCAGCTTACAACTCAATAGCATAGCTCAACTCAACAACTTAATGAAAACATGATATATCAACACAACAACTCATCAACACTGTTTAACAACACATTTTAACAACACAACATCTCATTTCAATTTTAAACAACACAATCAACTCAACAACTTATTAGCTCAACTTAATCATCATAAAATAATATTTTTTCAACACATGGCATAACATACAACTTTATAGCAACATACAACTCTTCTCTAACAACTTAACAACATAGCCTACTAATAAATTTTGTATAAATCTCAACACGTCTACACATTTTACATCATGCTTCTCACAACTCACAACATTATCATTTCGTCATATTTTACAACATATAAATAATCCACACATAAATATAGCAACTTTAGCAACATACCATGTATTCAACGCATTTTCTATTTGGCACAACTACGCATTTAGTTTACAACACTATACTAAACATGCATCTCTTTATTTCACTTTCTACTCACCATACATCTCAATATAATTATACAACTTCATATGAGTTCCTAAACTCACATACAACCAAACAACATACAACCTAGCTTCCCTTACCTGAAGATTGGCTCAGAATAGCCAAGAACTAAGAAGAAGTAGAATTTTCTTTCCGAAGCTCAACCCGAAACTTCAATCCACCCAAAGCAAGCTTCCTAGTTTAGAGTTCTTCTCTCTAAAACTTCTCTCTAAAAACCTCTCCTTCTCCTCAACTGCACATCCTCTATTTATAGAAGTCAGAAGTGGCCAGAACGGCCTGTTTCAAATCCATAATGGCCTGTTCTGGCCTCCTTCATCATGTGTAAAATTCACATGCAGAACGGCCCATTCTGAAACCAGAACGGCCCATTCTGGCACGTCTAGAACGACCCGTTCTAAAACCAGAATGACCCGTTCTGAAGTTGAATTTAACTCACAATGACCATTTTGGAACGGCCCATTCCAGTCCAAGATTCATAGGCCTATTTAGTAGTTTAGAACGGCCCGTTCCAGTTTGGGAACAACTCGTTCTAGGCTACTAAATCTCCCATGGCCTTCTAAAATACTTACTATGTTACAAACATAGTTTTCCATGTTAAGTGTGAAGGGAATCATGTTGAGTGATTTTGTTTTAGAGGGATCTTTGACTCCTCAACATTGGGTGTCGAAGTATCCACGATAAGCATGATTTAGGCAGAGAGACCCCTATCCTATACATGCTAGGAATGAGCACCACCATGGAGGGTGTGAATGTGGTAGAGATATCCCTAATATCTTTGTTTTGGGCATGAGTTCTAGCTTGTTAAGCAGCACACCACAATGAAAATTGGTTTAGTGTATAAGGGTAGCTTAATAGTGGAGAAACGTGTGAAGAGTAATGTTAAATTAAAAGAAAAGAATAATGAAGTCAGTAATCGTGATAAAAAAAAAGATATGAAGAAGAATTATAAGTGTGTCAATTTAAATGTATGATCTGCTATGTTATGAATAAATGAGGATGATATATGGTGATACATGACGAGGATGTATGATGATAAGGTATAGTGATGTTGATGAGATGTGTAAGTCCAAGTTGCAACTAATAATGATGTAATCCAAGTAGGGCTTGGTATATTATGAAGAAGTCCTGACTCCACAGTATGGCAAAATCATCAAGTTGGTCATTACATTTGGTTTATGTGTGTGATGTTGGTTTGGGTGTTGAGTTCATGCATTTCATACTTTATTTGGTGAGGTGATGTGAATATATGCAAGAGGATCTTTATGGTTATCTACCAAACCTTGAAAGTGTTATGGTAGAGAACCTCTAATGGGGTGTGAGGTAACCTTGGTTGGTTGTAATACTTCGATTAGATCTTAGTAGATATCTCTTGGTTGAGAGTGGATTGAGAGAGTCACTTAGTGTGTAGTGATTTGGTCCATAGCTCATAGGTTGCCTTCTAATTGGTGATAATAAGATTGATATCACATGCATGTAGAGTTAAAAAGTATGTATTGCTCGAGTTTTTACTTATAATTGATATTTATTGGGTTGAATATACTACTATCATAGATGTTGGATGTACTTAGAGTGTGTTTTATGTTGATAATGATTATGGATGTATGTGCATTAATGCTATCATTATGCCTTGTATGTGTTATACATGGATGTGATATATTCTCACTCCTTGCATTTTTATTGTTTTTTTTAGGTTGGTCACCATTGCAGAAGTAGAACGAGTACAATAAAGGAGAAGTCTAATGCTTCATTGGCTATTTTGGGTCCTTAATCTAATAGTGTGACATTGGGGCTTGAAATTTTTATGATTCTTAGTTAGAGGCATTTTATATTATGGTGTTTTATGTTGAAAGTTTTGTATAAAAGGCAATTTGTGCCTTTGTTTTGGATTTATGTTGTTATTTAGTTAACTTTTTTTTATTAAAGATTTTTTTACTAAGAGGATTGTGGATTTTTTACTTATAGAGTTACATTGAAGTATATATGAAGTCTTTAATTATATTGCTGCTTATTTTAGAAATGTCTATTTATATTATTTGAGGATAGAAATGTGTCACATTTAATAGTATCAGGATATATCTTCTCTCTTAGTATGGTGTAGTTTAGGGATGCATTAGGTGGAAGCTGGTGGGCTTGTAATAGCCCAAACGCAACAAAATGAGAGAGATCCATAGATTTGTACAAATATGATATTATGTAGTTGAGGATGACTTAAATAAATTAATTAGTACTTCCTATAATAACAAGATGAATATACTTTTTGATGGCTTATCATTTAAGTACTTTACAATTAAGTGCACTTGACTTTAAGTAATTGGGACAAAAAGTGTGCAAGTGGGACAAAACACACCGAAAAGTTTTATGTTGCTTTGTGAGGTCAATTATTGATCCTAAAGGCAGATAAACATATAAGAAAGAGTTACTCATAAAAGATTTTGATTGGAGAAAGGTTTTAACCAATAAAAGATTATGTGAAGTGTAATAAAATAATATCGATGAGATATCAAATATGAGATATGTTACATTATCTTTTCCTAAGTCAACTAGTTGTAAGTTCATTTCCCAATCGTTGGATTTGCAATGTACACATGACCAAAAATCTTAGCCATCACCTAAAAGTACAATATGTGTGCATAGAAGTCCATAATAAATGTAAAAAAAAAAATGAATTGGGTGAACGGAGTTCTCCATATTATTTTATTTCCAGCCTTTTTTTTTTTTTTTTTTCAATTGAAGCTCCACGTTCCATTGTTTACAATGTATATGAGTTTTTATTTTATTTTATTTTAATTTTTTTTAATTTTTTTTATATTTCTCTTAGAACCTTAAAGACAAAGATCTATTTGGATTTCTATGTAATGATAGGATGGTTCAATGAAGTTCTAAAAGAGGTAAAATTAAGTAGTTAAAAGATTTTATATAATAAAATTAAATTATTATTGTATTTATCTTTTAATATTATTTTATTTTAATTCTCCCAAATTAGAAAGTGACACTTATAGAATTATCTTTAGTAGTTATTAGGTTATAAATTTTTATTTCCTTTACTCTATGAGACATTAACAAGAAATATTACTGTTTATGTTCATCTTTCCTACAACTTTTTGTTGTACTTCTCTAATAGTAGAATTTAGGAGTGGTAACAAAATAAATATTTTCTTTCTATCAGAATCTTTATGCCTTTCATGTCATTTATTTCACATTTCATTTACTTCCTGCATGTCACCTGTTTTCTTCAACTCATTTTTATATCACTTGCCTATAAAAATTTTCTTGTTTGATTGAAAGAAAAAAACAAATGAAAGATAGTTTAACTTTTGATAATAAAAATTGTTTGTTTTTTGGAAAGCTAATATTTTAACTTAGATAACTAAAATTTATAATAAATGTCTTCTTTTAAATATATAAATTATGATATAATTATTTTTTTTAATAAATGAATAGTTTAAAACAAAATTATATTTTAGATTTATGAAAAAATAGTTATGTTATGATATAATATTACTTTTAATTATTAGTTTCTTTTAAATATACTAAAATTAAATTTATAAATAAAGAGAAAAGAATAAATTTAAAATAATAGAAAAAATTTAAAAATTCCCTCGTAGAGAAATAGTTCCTAAAATTATTTTTGTTCATATATATATATATATATATATAATTTGATTTTTAAAAAAAAATTCATTTGTCCTTATTTTATTACCTATGAAACAAATACAGGTTAAATTTTTGTTTTGGTCAATGAGCCTCACTTCATATATCATTGATTTAATTGTACTTTTGATTATTTACTTTCTAATTTTTCAAATTTAATTTCTTTGTTTTTTTTAATAAGATCTTTCATTATTATTATAATTATAATTATGTAACTTTTTTATTAATTAATTTAACAGATAATATTTAATAGAAATGCTACAGTGACACTATAATAGAGTTTGGTAAACATCGATGATGTGGTAGCACAGTAAAATGACAAGTTAGCACTTCCATTGAATATTAAATATTAAGTTAACAAATTTATCAAGTTATCTATAACTATTATAAAGAGATATATTTTAATAATCATTCTTTTAATTTTCATATTTTAGTGAATTTTTATATCCTTAAATATAAAAAAATTTCTTATATTTTTTACAATTTCTAATATTTATTTGTACATAATTATTATAGGTATGAAGTACCTCGACTTCTCTAGTACAACTAAAAGAGTAGAATCAAATTAACAACTAAAAAAAATAGAGAACAATATTTACAAAATTAAAATGGTAAAAATATAATAAAACCTTTTATTTTTCCTCGTGGAAGCCTGATAAAAAGAAGCATCAAGAAAGAAACCCAAAGTTAGGCCCAACAAACCCAATACAACAATATACACAAAAGGATGAGACACTTAAATAAAATAAAAAAAAGGATGAGACACGTGTTCGTTCAAAAGTGCGTGGGTTGATCAGCCCAAAACGCAAGCGTTGAAGAGTAAGAGCAAATTATAAAATCAAAATTTCTAGGGTTTTAGAGCACTGCGATTTCTCTTCAGAATTCCTACCATTCTTAATTCTGAATCCTCGAGATTTCTTTCTCTTCATTTCATCTTTCTCTTCTTCGCCACGCACTCTTGTCTCTCTAACTGTAAGTATCCAGACTCTCTCTATCACGCAATTTTTTTTTTCCTTCCGAATTTTATTCTCAAGAAGTTTTTCACGCTAAGTTTTCATTTGTGTTCATTTTCACATTCATTTTTTAAGATTTTTTTTTTGGTCTCTTAAATTTGTATAGGGTGATTCTGGTTGTGGACAATGTCTCGTGTTTACGTTGGGAATTTGGATCCTCGAGTCTCTGAGAGGGATCTCGAAGATGAATTTCGTATATACGGTGTTCTTCGGAGGTAAATATCTTCACCTCTCTCTCTATTCCGAGAGAAAATATTGAAATCGATAAACCAATTTAGGAATAATTAAAATCACTGTTAAAATATTGGTTAATGAGTTGCAAGTTGCTGAATTTAATTAAGTGATGAATTATTCGTAAATTGGACTTTTATAACCAATAGCTCCTTTCTAGAAAAAAAAAAATTCTTCATATAAGCTTGATTAATTCTCATCGTAAATTTTCTATTTTTTTTTCTACTTAATTCTGATTTCGAGATCTCTCTGTAAAACTTCCCGTGCTTTCTTTCACAGACATGAATTTGAGGTATGGAGTTCATACACTTCTGTGGGTTGGAAATAATGATATTTTCTGTAGGTGTCAAGGTCATGACCTGTGTTCTATGTACGGTTTGTTGTTTACACGTTTTATTTTAATGTTTGGTTGTGAATGCAGTGTCTGGGTTGCTCGTAGACCACCAGGATATGCATTTATTGAGTTTGATGATCGGAGGGATGCAGTTGATGCAATTCATGAATTGGATGGTCAGTATGCATTAATGTATTATCAATTTTCTGTATGCTGTCCATGTTAAGCAGTTATCCTTGTGCCTTTTATTTTTTTGGTTTGCATTATCTAGATTTTGGATTGGCATTAATGTTTGACTGTCATCATATAGGAAAAAATGGTTGGCGTGTGGAGCTTTCTCATAATTCCAAGGGTGGTGGTCGAGGAGTGCGTGGGCGTGGAGGTGAGGATATGAAATGCTATGAATGTGGTGAACCTGGACACTTTGCTCGGGAGTGTCGCCTGCGCATTGGATCACGTGGTCTGGGAAGTGGAAGGAGGCGAAGTCCAAGTCCTTATCAGCGTCGTAGAAGTCCAAGTTATGGATATGATCGCAGGTGTGTTTGAAATATGCACATGCTGTACATGAACTTAAGAAAATATGCTTTCAAATATCTAGGCCTTTCCATTTTTCCCTTTGTTTATTGTTTGGATTGAATGCCAGAATATAGAGATGTACTTGATGCATTGATTACAGAGAATGAAATGAGTCAAAACTATTATTAGTTTGAACTATTTTCACATGCTTAGTTTTTGTTATATAATTTGTTTTTTTTTGTGGGATGGGTGCATTTGCACATTATGTGGACAATCACCCTCTATTGTAGTGTCTCTGCTTAAATGTGGATTGATGCTTTCTCTCTTTGTAGTTATACTGCATTGGTCAAATTGTTTGGTTTACTTAAAATTCTTAGAGTTATCTAACTGGCTTCCATCTGCTGTATATTACTGTTAGTTTGTCATGACATTCAGACAGAAAAAGAATATTCATATGCTAAAATTATATCAAACTACCTATTTTGAGTGACTAGAGGTCTCAATCTGAATATGGGTGACCGCTGGATAAACTGACTTTCATAGCTTATGAAATTTCAGATTACATTTTTTAAAATGCATGCAAAGTGTCTTGGATAGATGTCACTCTCTTAGTAATTCCTTTGCTAGTCTATTTGTCTTCTCATGATTTCTTTTGGATTTGCTTTATTTGTCAGGAGTTTTAGCCCTCGGGGCAGAAGATCTCCAAGACGTCATAGCATATCACCTCCCCGGGGCCGCAGTTACAGCAGGTCCCCTCCATATCGTTATTCTCGCCGTGATTCACCTTATGCCAATGGGTATGTTTATGTTCAACTAAGTTCTGTATGATGTGAATTAGAAGAATGACATAACTTATTACCCATGTTAATTCAAATCTTGTATATTTTTTTTTGCAGAGATTAAAATCAAAATGTGATCGGAGCAAGTGCTGAATACTTATTATGGAATCCTCTCTGCTATAGTGTAGTTCCTCTAGGATTGGTTGAGCATACCACAGACATGTTAGTTATGTTGATGTCATGACAATGAGTATTGTTTAGAACTTGGCTTCTGACGAAACTTACAAAGTGTTGTAGCCGCCAAAAGGGTGCATTGTACACTGTTTTGCATCCACTGTCTCTGTTCAGCTTATTGAAAACTGAAGGTTGCTTCAGTCTACCCTACTTTACATATAGAAAGTTATGTTAATTGTTTGCTCTTAATCTTACTATTCCATTGTGATAATTTTGATATATTTGCATTGAATGTGCCTAAAATGTTTATGTTTCTTTGTTTTGAGGTGTTATCGGCCAAAAGAGCATCGTTTCGCCACTTACTAGATCTTCTTGTCTGCTTCTCTGCTGCATTGCCCCACAATCGTCTAATCTTGTTGCTTCTGCATATAAGTTGACTAAAAGTACAATGTCAGCTAGTTGGTTACGTATGACCTTTTGTTAACTGGTTCAGAAAAGGAATGCTACAGATGCATCTTCCTTATGAATTGGAGAAGTCTAAAGGTGGATGGGTAGAATGTAGCCAATGACTGCTGCATCTTCATGAAATTAAGTAACTTTGGGATTTCTCAGGATTTCTCTAGTATCTGACTAGTGTCTGCTTATCACCATTATACGACTAAGTAGGTATATTGATGGTTGCATCATTTTGCCACTTGATCTTGTCTGCTTCTCTGCTGCATGCCTCGACAATCTTCTCATCTTCTGCATATATGTTGACTAAAAGTTTGATGTCAGCAAGTTGGTTGCGTGTGACCTTTTTGTTAACCAGTTCAGAAAATGAATGCATCCTCCTTATAAATTGGAGGAGTCTAAAGGTGAATGGGTAAATTGTGATCATTGACTAGCTGCATCTTCACGAAATTAAGTAACTTTGGGATTTCTCGGGATTTATCTTATATCTGTGTATAGTGTCTGCCTCTCACCGTTCTACGTAGTTATATTGATGGTTGCTGTTTCTAACGTCTGCATTGACTAGAATGTTTCTTGTTTCATCCCTGGTCCGTGTGGTATGTGCTTTTCTGTTTGAGACTGCAATGGATATCATCTTGGTTGTGTAGGATACCATTTTGTGCATTCTCCTTCGGCGATATATACACAAGAACATTCATGATCCACGAAGAATGGGATTATATTGATGGTTGCATCGTTTTGCTTCTTACTAGATCTTCTTGTCTGCTTCTCTGCTGCATACCTCCACAATTGTCTTGCTTCTGCATATCAGTTGACAAAAGTCTGATGTCAGCAAGTTGGTTGTGTATGACTTTTTTGTTAACCAGTTCAGAAAAGGAATGCCACAGATGCATCCTCTTTATGAGTAGGACGAGTCTAAAGGTGGATGGGTAGATTGTAATCGCTGGCTTGCTGCATATTCATTAAATTAAGTGCCTTTGCGATTTCTCTAGTATCTGCGAATAGTGTCTACTTCTCACCATTCTTCCTTAGTTATATTGATTGTTGCTGTTTCTAACGTCTGCATTGATTATAATGTTTCTTGTTTCATCCCTGGCATGTTGTACATGCTTGCTGTTTGAGACTGCAATGGTTATCATTCTGGTTGTGTAGGATACCATTTTGTGCACTCTCCTTCGGCAACGTATATATATATACACATATATATATATATGCATATATGTATATATGTATATATATGTATATATATATATACACACACACAAGAACTTTCATGACCTATGAGGAATGCGATTAGAAAGAGTGATTCCATTTAACCAAGTGAGCATTCGCCTAACGTCTTCCATTCTTCACTTTCTGCTCTTTGATCCGTGTCAGCTTCCTCACTTGGGTGATTAGCTTTTTTATGCTTCATGGAATTTTGTGACATCTTCGGCTACTGGGATTTTGTCACTTGTTTCCCACATGCAGTTTTGCTTTGCCAAATACCTCCTCTCTAATCAAGTGTATTAACTCTGGTTGAGTGGCAGCATTGATTGCGCTAGATGTTTGATTTTGAGGAATTCATTGCCTCTTGCCATTGTTTTAGAATGTTGGTGTTTGGTGTTGTTGTAATTGTCATTTAGAGCCATGTGTCATTCTATTTTTTCTGGTATTAGTGATCCTTTTACATCATCTATTGCTATTAAGATTAGTTGATTTTGATATGGGTTTGTCTTCTAAGAATCGGATAATTGAGTAGTTTTTTTTTTCATGTAGAAAAAAAATAGTGACTTGTGAATCAACTATGAATATTAAAATGTCACAAGTATTTTTGATTTTGCTCTTAAATCTTGATTTATTAAAATGTGAAGGTCTTGGCCCTGTGGCTCTATGTAGTGAGAAAGCTACCATGAGCTATTTGTTTCTTTATTGAGGAAAACCATGAGGGATTTTTCTATCTTATAGGTAAAAATGATATAGTTGTAAAATTACTGTTGTCAAGACTCTTAATTCTTAATGAGTATCAATAGATTTTTTTATTTTCAGCATTCTCGTTGTGACAAAAGGTTTTATTGAAATGAAATGTTGTGTACTTGTCTTAGATCCATATATGTGTAAATTTCTTAACTTCACTCAGAAGTTCTTTCAAATTAGTGTCAACATGGGCTAAAACTCGGTCCAACTTAATTTCTTGTGGGGATTTATGGCTGACCCCACTGTATTCCCTACTTTAAATCACATGATACATGTTATAAATTTTTTACTCACATGGCACTTAGATACCTTTGGTGTGTGTGTATATATATATATATATATGTATATATATATATATATATATATATATTTCAAGTTATTGTAAATATAGCTGTCTGTTTTAGTTTTCGTAAAAAAAATTGTTATTTTTAGTTTCCTGTATTTTTTAGTGTTCTTTTTTGATATATTATAAGTAGTAATTTTGTCTCAAAAGATAAAAGTGATTGTTAAAAATAAATTAGAATTATTTAAGTAAATTATAATTTATTAAAGAAGTGTTAAAAATAATTTAGTAGATAAAAAGTAAGAACAATAATAAAATAATAAAAAATAATGTTCATAATATATTAAAAATAGAAATAAATTATAAATAAAATTATGTGTAATTATCTTATCTATATTAATATATAAAAGGGATACTTTTTTCGATAACTATTTTACTTTTTTTTTTATCATTATACCTTCTTATTTTAAAAATTAAAAAAAATATTTTTTAATCAAATTTAAGAACTTAAAATTAATAAATTAATCATAATATTAATTAGATCAATATATTTTTATAATTTTATTTTTATTTTTATTTCATTTTTAATAAAGAACGAAGTGTCTAACCTCACTAATTTATATAAAATATAAATGTACTAATTAAATTATGTGAAAGTAATTTAATTATCTTAATTTAAAATATTTGTTACATTAATTATCTTAATTACTATTCTATATTTTGTTAATCATTTTAATATTAAGAGAGTGTTTGGTATAAATTTTTTTTTCATATATAGGAATCATGATTTATGGGAATAATTAAAATATACTTAGTTATTTATAAATTTTTTGAAAATATTTATATAAAATTCTTGAGAATTAAAAATTTTTATATTTAATTACAAGTATATTTTTGGATATATAAATATTTATTATAAAAATATATTTTATTAAAATAAATTCTTTAGATATATTTATTTAATCAAATTTTATTATAAATATAATATTAAAGAATCTTTTATATGTATGTCTTAGTTCTTAAAATTAATGTTTAAAATGCTCCTCCTTCCACATTATTTATCACAATACCTCCCTTTGATAGTGCATTTAGAAGTCAAGTACATGGTCGACTTCTCAATGCTCTTTTTTGTTATTTTTAATTTTTAATTTATAAAAGTATATTTTTAATATAATAAGTATATTCTTTTTAAAATTTAAAATATAAATTAAAATTTAAAATAAATTAATATAGTAATTAAATTATTTAAATAAATAATACATTTTAGAAAATATAAAAAATAAGTAATCAGTTTTCTTATTTGGATTAATTTTTTTAGTTATTATCAAAGTTAATTTTTTGTGCAATTTTATTAATGTGTATGATTTTTTTTAAAGAATGATTAATACTCATGTGTATATATATATATGAGGAGGGTTATAATAATATCGGTGTAATTTTTACTAAGTATTACACTGTTGAATAACTTTATATTAAATATGAATTTTGAAAATTCAACCGTTAGATTGAAAGTTCTTTACTTTTAGATCATATGTATTAAATTTTATATTAATCCAAGATGATTTGATACTTCATTCTTATCAAATAAAATTGACATAATATATTCATTTTAAAATATACTAAAATATAAATACTTTGATTACCTTCAAATTGTTGTTCAGTTTTAACAAAATTTGATATACACATATAAAGTAATATGAACTTTCAATCTAACGGTTAAATTTTCAAAATTCATATATAATATAAAGTTATTAAGCGGTGTAATACTTAGTAAAAGTTACACCGGTATAATTATAACTCTCCTATATATATATATATATATAGGAGAAATTCGTTTACTCTAGGAGTAAGTTTACTTAGATTTATTATGTTCAATAACTCATGTTCTACATTAAATTTCAACGATCCAATTGTTAAATTTAAAGTTTTTATTGCATAGATCATGTATGCAAATTTTTTAAAAAATTAAAAATTGTTTACTTCATTTCATTAATTCAAATTGAAATTGAATTAATGAAGTGAAGTATCAAATGATTTTAAATTTTTTAAAAATTTGTAAATTTGATTTATGCATTAAGAAGTTTAAATTCAATGGTTAGATCATTAAAATTTGATAAAAAAATATGAGTTATTGAACGAAATAAGTCTAGATAGAGTAAACGGATCCCTCCTTATATATATATAAGTTTTGTGTTAGTGAATATAATAGTATCATTTTTAAGTCTTGAATTGATTTTGAAAAAAATCTTCAAAATGACTCTAAAAAATTATAATTTTTTTATTAACTCTTTAAACATTATATTAAGATATCATTAATTTTCATTGACTCATATTTTTATCTTTAAGTTATTCAAGCATAAATTATATTAAAAATGAAATACAAAAAGTAATTCAAAAAATATCAATTCAAAGATGACCACCAATTCCACAAAGTGACAGTTTTCTATTTCATGGAGGATTGCGATGAGGACGAGTTTGTCTTGGATATCATGTATGGTTGTCTTCATCATCAATTATCTGTTGATCTTGTAACACAGGTTCATGGCAATCATCGACATAAGCATAATACATATTTGTCTCTTGTTGAAAATAAGATTCATGTTGGTTAAAAAATGAAATGTTGTTAGGATACAAACTTTGCAAATATGTTGCAACTAATTATGACGAACCAACATTTGCACCAAATAGATTATTAACAAATTCTTCTATTGTTGATGTGAAAGAGTGCTGATAATTGTCACGGTAGTGATCAGGATGCTGTGATGGTGGAGTTACAAATGAGGACGAGTTTGTCTTGGATATCATGTATGGTTGTCTTCATCATCAATTATCTGTTGATCTTGTAACACAGGTTCATGGCAATCATCGACATAAGCATAATACATATTTGTCTCTTGTTGAAAATAAGATTCATGTTGGTTAAAAAATGAAATGTTGTTAGGATACAAACTTTGCAAATATGTTGCAACTAATTATGACGAACCAACATTTGCACCAAATAGATTATTAACAAATTCTTCTATTGTTGATGTCAAAGAGTGTTGATAATTTTCATAATAATGATCGAGATGTTGTGATGAAAGAGTTACAACAAATGAATTACATTGTGATTTCAAACCATACATTTTCCATATCATCAGTAATAATAGGGTGGTGATTTGGATTTGTATTTTGTTGTAGATACTCTCATAGTGTTGACATTTTTATTGATGCTTGTGACATTTTGTTAGTATCAATGTTCTCTACAACTTGTGGGTCTTGTAATTGTTGGGGCACAAACAAATAAAGAATTGTATTTTGTTTATATCATACCATATATTCTTCTGTGTGGCATAAGTGACCATTGACAGGTTGCCCTACTATAACATTTTGTCGATGTTCCATCCATTTTTGGATCTAGTGGGCATATTCTTTTGCCCAATTATTATAAGCATTTTCCCTCATGGATGTCTCGTGTTGTTGATCGAAATTTATAGGCAGTTGGGGTATATCCTGACATAAACCAAATTGGAGTTTTACCTTATCCACTTATTGTCATTCAACCACTACGAAACAAATTAAAGAGGTACAAGAGTTCCACATTGTTGATTTTTTAAATGCATTTTTTGGCAGCAATGCTCATAACCTTTATAAGGCATCCAAAAGAATTGTAAAATTAAGAATGAATATTATTATATTAATAGTGACAACTAACAAATTAAAACAAATATATATACCTCTGTAATTTACATGTGACAATTCTTGACCTATACCTGACTATGTCACCTTTTGGTGTCCCTGAATGCTATGAACCCCCACCACTCTATCTGGTACAACACACATGACATGAGTAAATAAGCAATAGTAACTACAATAAGAACAAAAATGTGTTTAAATTTTATTTACCTAATTGTAAGAGGATATAATTCTTGTGGATGATTGACTTATGGTGCCATGAAAGACATGCAATACCATGCCCAAGATTTCAATAACAATGCACACCCACCCATAATTCGTTCACTTGTAAGACTTCCTAGACAAATTTGTCTATATAATGTTGCCAAACATGCTAATCCCCAACTATAGTGTCTAATATTGTTAAAATCTATTAATAAGTTTAAATATATAAGGTGGACTCTATTGGCTGATTTTTCTAGCAATATGACACCCCCAATTAGGTACATTATGTAGGCTTTACAATGGACTTGTAACTGAAATTAGGTTGGTTCATTTGGAATTTCTTCTTTTAAAATTTCTATCATTCACACTAGTTTGATTGTGGACCCTTTTTGGACTCCTTTTGGAGGAATCACACCTAAAATCCTTTCACACAACTCATCCCAATCTAGATAACTAGGTCTAGTAATTGGTCTTCCCTCCGCCCTAAGTCCTAGTTGTAGTGCCATATCTTTTAATGTCATAGTGCATTCATCGCATGGTAGATGGAATGT